TTGCGAATAACATTGTTTTGGAAACAAACCTCTGTTCTAATTTTGTTTCAAGGACGTGCACAGACTCAGTAGGTAGAACTTAATTTGAAAGGGAGAAAATAATATTTGGATGTGAGTGTGTATCTTACTCAAATTTGAACAGAAATTGTCATTTCTGGGTTGGGAACACACGTCAGAGATAAATTTAACATGCAGTTGCAATTTACTTTTTTTGCTTAAAGCCACCGGACTTGGCACACTTGACAAAACAAAGCCATATAGGATTTACAGAGGATTTTAAGGCATACTGTAAATTCAGTTCTACAGAGTTGCTGGTTGTCAGAGCTGAATTCAGATTTGCTGTGTTGGGACATGCTTCAGTTATAAAAGCAGTGAAAGTTATCTTTAGCTACAAGTTTTTCTGAATATGAAGAGATAGTATATATTTAAGATTTACTGTGGTGATGTGAATAAACTTTGAAAAACTTGCTTTGGTCCTTCAAACATGCTGTCTTCTTTCCTGGGAAATGTGGACTTGCTGCTTTGTGCACTAACCTGCAGGCTTAAATGTTTTTGTCTTGCTGGAAGCAATGTTGCATTCCGCTTTTGGATGTTGCTTGACTGTGCTGGATAATGCATACCATCACAACTAATATTATATTTTGAAAAGTATTACTCTTGATTCCAGCATTTTTTTTCCTGAAAGCTTTTGGCCTCTTTTTTCAAGTTGGATGACTGTAAGTTTCTCACACCAGCCATATGTGATGTGAGCTGTGATCCACATCATTCCGATATGTGTGCCGGGAGTGGAGAGAAGACTCCTGAACTCAATCAAAGTTGGGTTCCTGAGATTATGACAGATGCAATGAACATCCCAAGCCCTCTGCTTTAACACCCTGAAGAAAAACTAAACTTTCTCAGAATGTGTTTGATAAATGCCTGCCATGTATATTTTAACAACATACCAAGGCATGTGCTCTCAGTGTTTTGCAACTCCCCACCTCCATCTTCAGCCATCTTAGCAATTGCTAGCAGCCTCTTAATTATGAATTTTCTTGAATGTCTTATTATCATGTGGCCAGATAGCACGTCTTTCCTAGAAAGTAACATTTCTCATATGCTTTCTAGATTTTGAGAAAGAAAACCTTTATTTGGAATGTATATAGTAATGTATGTAATAATGTTTCTGAGACTAGATACATTCAAAATGGATTATGTAGGTTTTTGTTACATTTTGCTTTGGATTTTGCTGGGAATTGTTCTTTGCTTTCAAGTGGCTTTGACTTTGAGAGAAATTGTGATTTTTTACATTCTTCAACATACTTATTTTTCAGGTTCCTTTTTTGTCTCCTCTAGAAGGTCATATATATCTGAAGATTAAATGCCAAATAGATTCTTGTGTGGAGGAGAGAGGTTTTTTGGTAAGTTGCCATTACATGTATAGAGTTAGCAAATTTAACTCAGGATGGGATTCTAGAATTGCCCATTAAAGATAGTTCAGATATTTTGAGTGTAGCAGTATTCTGATAAATTGTGAAAAATTTGGATTTTGTTTTAAATTTTGGAATACTTGCATTTGCATGTGTATATTATGAGATATCTTGGAGAAGAGACTCACATTTAAACACAATATTCAATTATGTTTCAGACACGCCTTATACACCAGGCATGGAGAAACTTTGGCCCTCCAGATGTTTTGGACTTCAACTCCCACAATTCCTAACAGCCCACGGGCTTAGGAATTGTGGGAGTTGAAGTGTGGAAGGCCGAAGTGTGCCCATGCCTGTTATACATGTAGCCTGAAGATAATTCTATACAAACCTTTTACATTTTGTGCATAAAACAAAGTTTGTGTATCTTGAAGTACCAGAAAACTAAGGTGTCATTATCTTCATCACCCATGTGGTTAATATTGGATTTTGGAGTACTTTGGAAATGCTTACCCTGTGTCTTCAAAAAACCTGATGCCTAGGCCTATACTAATCTCAAAAGTTCCTTAAAAGTAAACATTGATGGGATTACAGCTGTTGAATCACAGCTAGCGGTTAAGATGATCAGTACTCTGCTCTAAAATCCCAGGATAGCTGTGTAATGAAAATACTGTGCTGTGATTATCAGATTTTTTATAGACTACCTGAACATTAAAGTGTTTCAAATGTTATGGTACTTTTGTAAGATGGCTTTTGATTGTTTAAAAAAAGGCAAATTTCAAAGAATATATTAAGTGATAGTAGCCAGCATCTAAGAGTAGAAGAATGATCAAGTGTAACAATGGCATTGGAATGGGTCTTGTAGAACTGATGTTTTATGAGGAGTAGGCTAAAGGACCAGTAGTATAAGAACTGTTGAAGTTGCTAAGATCTATATGACACTGGAAATTAAATTGTAAATGTATAGAAATGGCATTCTTGTTCAAGGAGAGTTTTTATGTCTCCCCAGACTATGTTTGAAGATGTCAGTGGGTTTGGGGCTTGGCATCGACGTTGGTGTGCTCTCTCTGGCAATTGTATCTCTTATTGGACTTACCCAGATGATGAAAAACGAAAGGTAACTCTAAGTTTGCATAAGCATTTACTGTAGAGGCTGTATCCATTTATTTTATTTTAGTATATTCAGCTTGAAGTGGCATTACAACTTGTTACACAGGGGAATGGCATTACAACTTACGCATTTTTTCAGAGGAGGCTATGGGTTACTTGTCATGAATGAAATCTCCAGATTCAGAAGAGTGCAAAATTTGCGAACTGACAAATATAAAAAGACTAAGAATTATGGATCTTTTCATTTCAGCATCCTTTGGGCTCCATAAACCTGGCAAACTGCACCAATCGTCAGATTGAACCTGCCAACAGAGAGTTCTGTGCTCGGCCCAACACTTTTGAGCTAATTACTGTTCGGCCACAGAGAGAAGATGATAAGGAGACGCTTGTTAGCCAATGCAAAGATACCCTCTGTGTTACCAAGTAAGCCATTGTACAATACTTTTACCACTAGCTATGTTTGTAGACCTACTTCTGGAGAATTTTCTTTGTTAATGACATAATCTGCTTTTTCTTCCCTGTGGATTAATCCTTTGGCCCTATTTCTTTTGTTTAAACAAGGAACTGGTTATCTGCTGATACTAAAGATGAACGTAATCTTTGGATGCAAAGACTCAACCAAGTTCTTGTTGACCTTCGCATGTGGCAGCCTGACGCTTGCTATGTTCCTGTTGGAAAGCCTTGAATCACAGAAGAAATTTCCCGTAAGAGCTTGCTTCCAATATCAGACACAAACTCTGCTCTTTTAATATATCTGGATGTGATGGTCATTGTATTGGACTATTTTCTGCCTTTAGAGTTCTAACTCTAGTACTGGGGTATGATAGCTGTTTTAAAGCACTTTTGCTGTGCTAAATATGTTATATATTATAAAACTTTGAAATATGTAGTTCTGTTCACTTTTAAAGTAAAGGTTTCTATTAGTTATCAAAGCTTGCTTTATTTCAAAAACCAAAAGATTCAGCACAAGGGGAGAAGAACAATCTAGGAAGTTTTACCAGTAAACATTTTTCCTAACAAGTATGCCTCAAATTGATTCAGTTCTATTGGAGAGCTGAAACAGGAACTTCCACTTTTTATATGTAATAGGATTTTAAAAAATATAATTAGTGGCCTTTTTCCACATCACCTTTTTTAGGTGTTCAGTAGTTTGAGGTTTTAATTCCTGGCACTTGCAAAAAGTACCACTTTTCAGATAGAAGATTGCATACAATAGGAACAGATTCCAGTTGGGAAAATAAGATAATTTTGATGCATGATTTTGCGCACAGCATGGTTTACATGTATGATCAGTTATGCAGTGCATTTGTACATATGCTATGAAACAAGCATCTGGAATGCTTTAGGCTGCTCTAAGAACAGCATTTTTTACCATTATTTCCCTCTCCAAGCCATATTAATCTGTGTTTTATAGTTTGGATGTAAAAAAAATCACTGGTCTTTAGGCACTAGAGAGCAGTATTTCTTTTCTTTTTTAAAATTCAGATGGTAGAGCTGCTATAAACAAAGTATTACTTCATATAGTCTGTCACTAAACCAGTTTAAGCAATAATTTTTAACTGATCAGTGAAATATCATGGCTACTCAGGTGAACTGCATGTGTGCAGCTTTCATAAAAGCTTTCCATTAAGTACCACATTGCGCTGTGTTGCTGCTGCTACTGCTGCATATTTTAAAACATTACTTGCAGGACATTGTCATTAAATTGCTATAGCTTTACATGGTTAAAAACACTAATTTTGTCAATTTTCCCCTTTTTAAGTCATCCTTTGTATTATTATTTTCAATATTCACTTTTTCTGCTGTTTTAAAACAAGGAACAAGAACTTCTCAACATATATAAATAAAAATGTATCTATGGAATTCCAGCAAATGAGTGTGTTGTCTTGCAATACTTTCTTTTTTAAAAGGATCGGTATCATTCGGGCCCCCCGGTGGCGCAGTGGGTTAAAGCACTGAGCTGCTGAGCTTGTTGACCAAAAGGTCGCAGGTTCGATTCCAGGGAGCGACGTGAGCTTCCGCTGTCAGTCCTAGCTTCTGTTAACCTAGCAGTTCCAAAACATGCAAATGTGAGTAGATCAATAGACACCGCTCCGGCGGGAAGGTAACGGCACTCCATGCGGTCATGCTGGCCACATGACCTTGGAGGTGTCTATGGACAACGCTGGCTCTTCGGCTTAGAAATGGAGATGAGCACCACACCCCAGAGTCAGACATGACTGGACTTAATGTCAGGGGACTACCTTTACCTTTTTCATCATCGAGTTTAGGCTAGAATATATCAGGATACTTGACATGACACCATTCTCTGTAATTTGTACTATACTTTGAGTACATCTTCATAATAATAATGATTATGATGATGATTTCTTACTCTCCTCACCTCATGGGCTGAAAGTGGGTCACAAACACAGAATCATACATTATATAAAATACACATACACAATGTGCCATTTTTCAAAATAAACCAGAAGCAAAACATTTTTGACCAGTCAAAACTATAAGTTTATAGAACTACAAAGTGATGTGACAAAGAGGAAATTCAATAATTAAAAATAAATCACAGCTCTGTAATTGCTGACAGATTATCTTCAAGAGGATCGAAAACTTCATGAAGGACTGATTCCCAGTTCTGTTTCATAGTACTGAGGTCAGTGCCCTCCTTGAGCTTTGAAGATTCTATCAATCTCATTATTAAATGGATTTTCTTGTCCAAGGACACGTGGCCATTTATGGAGTACCTTGTTCCAGACAATTCTAGCTCCAAGTGCAGAAGCAATCTAGAATTAGTCCAAGAAAAAAAATGTTATTCTTCATTTCAAGAAGCGCTTCAAGTGGTAAAGTTTGGCACAATTGGCTGCTGGTAACAATAAAGAAATCTGTCCCTCAAAATAAAGTTGAAAACTTTATACTTATCAAGGAAGTTGGTAATTTTTGACTGTTTTATTGCAACATGGATTTCTTTTTAGTGAAAAATAACTCAATTTTAACCAACAGGGGTCCTCAAACGTTTTAAGCAGAGGGCCGGTTCATCGTTTCTAAAGCTGTTGGTGGAGCCAGACTATAGTTGGGGAAAAAAACTGGACCAATTTTCCATGCATACTGCATATATCTTATGTGTCGTACAAAAAAATGAAAGAACAATACAATATTTAAAATGAAGAGCAAATTTAACCAACATAAACATACCAGTATTTCAATGGAAAGTGTGGGCCTGCTTTTGGCTGATGAGATAGTCAAGTTAATTAGGATTGTTGTTGAGTGCCTTCCAGTCATTTCAGACTTAGGGGAATCCTAAAGCAACCCCATCACAGAGCTTTCTTGTCAAAATTTATTCAAATGGGGTTTACCTTTGTTTTCCTCAGACTGAGAGTATGACTTGCCTAAAGTCACCCAAAGGGTTCAGAGCTACAGTCCAAGGTTCAAACCAGTATGCCACACTTTCTGAATGCTGAATTTCTTCCCTCTCTGTTTCCAACCTAGATTCTTCCTTTTCTCCCTCTTTTTCCTACATCCCTTCCCCCCCTTTTCTCCCTTCTTTCTTTCTCCCTTTCTCCCTTTTTCTTTCTCTTTCCTTTCTTCCTTTTCACTCCTCTCCCTCCCTCCCTTTTCTCCCTTCATCTTTCCTGCCTTCTGTACTTTCTTCATTCCCTCCTTTTCTTTCGTTAAATAATGTCTCTAGCTAAGTAACAAATGTAGAATATTGGCAAATATTTTTCCAACAGAATCTGATTTAATCCATCCATCCATTTATCGACACACGTGTGTTTGTGTGTGAATGTATATGTATATTTGTTCCACAAAGGCTCGACATAGTTTGATGGGTCTGGACCAAAGTTGGTACACATAACCTTTCCTGTTCCAATTTAAAATACTGGTGGGTTTTCAACTTAAAGGGCCAGAGTGTTGCCTGTCCTTTTCAAGGATAGGCAAAGATGGGAGAGAGCTGGAGAAGAGAGAAAGGAGTCCTTAAGATGACAGAACTTGGGTAATAATAAATAGCATCAGAAAATGCCAACTCAGGCAACACTGGGTATACTAGTGTGTATAAATATAGACTTAAAAAAAACATGTTCAGTTTGTTTCCCTAGTTTTTGTACTTAGAATGCATACTTTACATAGAGATTGTGGATGTCTCCATATTGAACTGCACCACCCATCATTCTATTAACTATGCTGAAAGAGCTAATGAGAGTTATAGCTTAGCAACATCTAAAAAGATCACAATTTGACCCAATCCTGTGGTAACTGAAAAACAAAATTCAATAAAACTTGGTTCCACCCAAATGTATGCTACTACTGTTAATTTTCCTTTGTTCTGATAAAGTGAGTTAATTTTGTCAGAGTATTAAATTATTTACTTAATGAACCCTGACTCATGACTACTTTTGCAACCATACATTTAATGAGTTAAATACAGTTCCGCAAATCTTCATTTTTTCCAGATGTGACATTGCCTTATACTATTTTTTGCTCATAGAGGAAGAACAGAAAGAAAACCTTAAGTACCCTTAGAGCGCAAAACTGGTTTGAAAGGGAAATCAATCTGCCTAGCACATTTCTGGCACGAGTTTCTTATTAAGTTAATATATTTGGAACATTTGATATCATCCCTTGCATTGTTAAGGCAGATTTACTTTCATCTTTGAAACTGGAGATATCTCAGTGAGATTATCTGACTGAAATGAGTAATAAAGCCAGTCCATTAAAGGCCATGTCAATGAGACAATGCAAGATCACTTCACACATCCAGTTTCTTGACAATTTTAAAGCAAAAAAACTATACATTTATTCTATTATGTATCTTCCTGTGAATTCAGTGGAGCTTAGTCCCAGGCAAGTCGCATAGCGGCCTTAATATCTTAGACCCCAGGATATTTTCATACATAGGGAAAACAAAAGGGCATGAAGTCTGTATCGTAAGAATTTGTCACAATGGCATTTATGCAATATGATGTCACTTTTAAATATGGTATGTTCTGTCAGCTCAGCTTCGACTTACAAAAATCAAAAGAAAGAGACTTCCAAGAGACCCTGTTATTAACAGCCCACTCAGTTCTTGTTTGGCCATAGCTTCTCTGATTCAGTAAAACCATTTGTAATGCCTTCCTCTTCTCATACTGCTTTCCACTGCCCTTATTGTGTTGCTTGGGAGTCATTTCATGATGTCTCTAAAGAGCAATACCCTCTGTTTCATTGTTTTGACTTCTAGTGGGAGTTTAGACTTGATTTGCTCTCTGACCCATATATTTGTCCTTTTGGCTGCCCGTGGCATTCAGAAAACCCCTCCAGCGCCATATCTCAAATGTCTGAGTTCTTCACTGTCCAGCTTTCAGATTCATACATAGAAATTGAAAAATACTATAGCATGAAATATCCTGACTTTGATATCCTTTGTACTTGAGGAACATATCAATTTCTTTGTAGTTGCCTTTCTGAGTCTTGGTCCTCTTGATTTTTTTTTTTGTACAAATGCCAGCATCAGTGCCATCATCACACAGTTTATATAAATCAGATGTGAGATTTTTCCCCTTAATATGCAGCTGTAATTCTGGTTTTGCACCTTCCTTAATTTTCCTCATTAGATATTCCAAGTCTTTGATGATTTCTTAAAGAAATAACCCCCCCCCACCCAGGTGATAGTTGTCCCATATCCTATTATTAAAACCTTCCTGCCCCTTTCCCCCTATTTTATATGTTTTTAATATTTCCATTAATTAAAAAAATCATTTAAAAAAATAAAAAGAAATAGCAACTTGCCTTCTGATTGATTTTTCCCCCTCCAATTTTTATTCCTGGTGTTTCACAGTTTTTCATGATGTCTGCAGCCCAAGCTTTTGATGTAATCTATTAAAGCATTGGCTGATTTTATTCTGAAATATCAAAGAATTTTGACATTTCAGAATATCAAAAGAATTTTGAGAAATCATGAGACTAGATTTTCTAGTGCCTCTTCCTGAGTCCTGCTCAGTCATCTGGGGTTTCTCGTCTATATCAATAAAATGTAATGTTCGTTTGTGGGATTAACATAACTCAAAAACTACTGGATGAATTGACACCAAATTTGGACACAATACACCTATCAGGCCAATTAGTGACCATCACTCATAAAAACGTTGAAAAACACAGCGGAAAGGACTTAAAAAGCCAAAAAACAAAAAATACATTAACGCATGTGCAAAACCACATATATACACAAACACACATATATTCACATAAACACACACAACACATATATACAGACTGGGCCACAGCAACGAGTGGCGGGATGGCTAGTTTCATATATAGTAAAAGTCTTCCCAAACTTTTTGTTGTATGACTAGTTAGCATGCCTGCTTTCTGTGTAAACTCCTTGGATTTTAAGACACTTGCAAACAATATTCCCTTCTGAAGGGTGATTTTAATATTAAATGAATAACTATAGGACTAAGTATTAATTTAGTAAACAGACAAGACAGTAATTTGGATTCTGTGTCACTAAATAGCAGATCTTAATTTATAGCATTGTTTTATAGTCTAACCACCCCAATACTAGGAAGGGATTATTTTAAAAACTTGAAATATATTTACGGTACATGGAGAGAAGCTCCACCATGGGACTTACTCCTAAATTCATATGGCAATATTTTACAACTGAAAAAGGAACTCCAGGATATGAGGCAATGTATTCAAACTACAGGAAAAGAGATTCCACCGTAACATTAGGAAAAACATCCTGACAATAAGAGTTGTTTGACAGTGGCATACATTGCCTTGGAGTGTGATTGTGGCTCCTTCTCTGAAGGTTTTTAAACAGGGAATGATGGGTATGACCCTTGTGGTGTCTTCCAATTCTATGATTCTAGGAACCCACGTGTATACACTTTTATGTGATGATACACTCCAAGTACTCAATGGCTCAGATCTTATATGGTTATATGTAGAGTAAGAGAACTCTGCTATAGCTCCCCATTCATCACCCTGAGGATTCACTGATCGTTCTTTGCCATGATCATTCTTTGACTTGTAAAGGGTGTGATGGGGATCAGAGGGGTTTCTGGTTATGTCCAGATGGCCAGGCACGAATCAAGGACATCCACCAATGTCCGCTAGGGTCTTCTGGAATTGTCACAGATCATCTCATTGTTCTGTGCCTGGCTATGGGAATAAAGCCAGACACTACTCCAATCTCCTCTGCTCTCCAACAGTAAAATAATGATCATTAGAAGCAACCATCACAGTCACAGGGTGAACCCTGGGGAGGTTTTGATTGTTGCAGTGGGAAGACGGGATTACCAACCAGTGTGATAGCGCATACACCACAACACATACATTGCCATAAGATAGACTTATACAAGGGTTGCCATTATTAGGAAGTAGGCCTGTGCGATGAATAAAAAAAAAAGTTTCAATATTCATTATGAAAATCGGGGGTGGGGAGGGGGGAATAGTTTCTAAAATGTTTCCGAAATTGGATGGGGCCATATCCTAACTATAACAAATTAACTATTTTTGTTACTTTTCGTTAAGTAATAGTGCCAATGGGAAAATTTCAGGGGCTCCTTTCCCCCTCATTGTTAGAACTATTGGCATGAATGCCTCTAGACCAGGGGTCCTCAAACTATGGCCCGGGGGCCGGATGCGGCCCTCCAAGGTCATTTACCTGGCCCTTGCTCAGGGTCATCCTAAGTCTGAAACGACTTGAAAGCACACAACAACATCAACAATCCTATCTCATTGGCCAAAAGTAGGCCCACACTTCCCATTGAAATACTAATAATTTTATATTTGTTGAAATTGTTCTTCATTTTAATTATTGTATTGTTTTAAAGTGTTTTTTGCACTACAAATAAGATATGTGCACTGTGCATAGGAATTCATTCATGTTTTTTCAAATTATAATCCGGCCCCCAAACAGTTTGAGGGACTGTGTCCTGGCCCTCTGTTTAAAAAGTTTGAGGACCCCTGCTCTAGACCGTGGCCATATAGCCCGAAAAAACCTACAACAACCTAGTGATTCTGGCCATGAAAGCCTTTGACAATATATTGGCATGAAACTTGCTATTATTATAGAACACATTTACCACTGTTAGCCCATCAAGTTTCAGAATGTTTCACTCATCCATAGATTTTTGGGAAATTTTCAAAGTTTTTGCAAACATTTAAAAAAAACTACAAGAGCTATCTCCTTGAATTTTCTATACAATGACACAAGATAACAGAATAATTCTCCCCAAGTTTCAGGAATATTAATACATCTAATGATTTATCAGATTTTTTTTAATTTGACAAAACTTTTTTTAAAATAAAAAAAACTACAGCAGCTATCTCATTGATTGTCTTTCACAAACAGAACTTCAATTTAGGTATTTCCTCCCGGCCCAGCACAGATTTACTTATTATTATTGAAGTTTCAATCAATCATCCTCTTTGCAGATTTAACCGTTTATTGGAACTCTGGCTGCTGCTAGGGTGAACATATCTCTTCCTTATCTTAATAGGGGCTTAGGATTGATGCTGAGCAGAATTTTGGTAAATGTAGTCTGCCTTTTGAGTTCCTTGCCATAGGGCTCCTCACCTTCCCAAACTACATTTCCCAGAATTCTGTGCTCTCTCAGTCTCTTTCCCAACTCACTCAACTCATCCCACCCTGCTGCTTTCCTCTCCTCATGGCGTGATGCAGCCTATCCTTAATTTAAAGAGGAATGGCAGCCCTTTTGGCTTTGCTTTGCTTGCGCTGAAAATGAAACTGACTTCCGAGCATTACAAAATTCAAACGAAAATATTGCATAAGTTTTTATTCTTGAGTTTTTGTGTGAGCACTCCCCACTCCCCCACACACTCACGTCTTAATATTTGTTCATATATACCAGGGGTCCTCAAACTAAGGCCCAGGGGCCACATACGGCCCTCCAAGGTCATTTACCTGGCCCTCACTCAGGGTCAACATAAGTCTGAAACTACTTGAAAGCATACAACAACAGTTCTGTCTCATCAGCCAAAAGCAGGCCCACACTTCCCCCTCTAATACTAATAAATTTATATTTATTAAAATTGTTAGTGTTTTTGCACTACAAATAAGATATTTTTCAAATTATAATCCGGCCCTCCAACAGTTTGAGGGACTGTGACCTGGCCCCCTACTTAAAAAGTTTGAGGACCCCTGATACATACAAAACGGATGGATTAGATACGACTTACGATTTAAAAACAAAGATTTGCACATCCATATTAGGAAGCCAGCCCACAGCAAACACAGATATTTAGCATAGGTTTGGGGGAAGGTGAAAAAGAGGTTGACTTGGATTTCAGTTTATCCATCTGAAACTTTGGTATTAAATTCATAGTAATTTTAAAGATTCCACAAAGCAAGTCTACATGCTATCAAGACATCTCTTTGTAACCAAGCTTCAAGGGGCTCATTCAAGAACATTAGTTCAAACATGACCATGTGGTACACTATACACCTAGATTTTTTTTTGTGGTTTTTGTTCCCAACCACCCACCTACTTCCTTGTCTCTTACCTGACTCGGATGGAATCCATCAACAGGTTCTATTAGCTGCCAGGCCTCTCCTCCCATCTTCTGCAACATTTCCGTGACTGTAAACCAGATAATTATAGAAGATTATGCACCACACGTATAAACATCACATTTACTTCACACAGCATCACAGGCAGTATTTTTAGCAAATGACTGCTGCACATGAAGATTATGATGATTTATATAATATTGTCAAAGCCAATGCTATATTCAATCCTCTTTCCTTCCAGGCAGCATTTAAGCCTTTTCAAGACATTTTATGCAAGAAAAGTTCTGAATATATATGCTGGCAGAATAATTCATATCCAGCCCAGCTCCATGTAAAAATAAGGTTGAAATGAGGCAAACCTTGATGGTTTGAGTACTATGATGAGTTCCAACTAGAGCAAACCCACTGAATTAATGAAAGTTATAGAATGTTGACTTAACAGTGGGTCAGTTGGTCTACTCTCATTGCAACTGACAATATGATTTAAGTCAAAACTACTCTCATCTCTGCCTTTTACTTGCCAGACTTCTCCTCCTTGGTCATTGTCTATGGTTTGCTGCATCTTTCTCAACACAAACATCCAAAGTCATTGCTGTCAAAACAGACATGTGTAGTCATCCGGAGTTTTGGAGTTCAATGCTATCTGTATGCAGATGACGTCCAACTCTATCACTCATTTCCACCAGATGCTAAGGAGGCTGTCCAAGTCCTGAACCAGTGCCTGGCCGCTGTGATGGTCTGGATGAGGGCAAGCAAATTGAAGTTGAATCCAGACAAGACAGAGGTCCTCCTAGTCAGTTGCAAGGCTGAACAGGATATAGGGTCACAACCTGTGCTGGATGGGGTCACACTCCCCTTGAAGGCACAGGTTCGCAGCTTGGGAGTTCTGGATTCATCACTGAGCCTGGAATCCCAGGTTGCAGCGGTGGCCAGGGGAGCGTTCGCACAATTAAAACTTGTGTTCCAGCTGCGCCCGTACCTTGGGAAGTCAGACTTGGCCACGGTGGTCCATGCTCTCGTTACATTTAGGATAGACTTCAGCAAAGCACTCTACGTGGGATTGCCTTTGAAAACAGCTCAGAAGCTTCAAATAGTCCAACGAGAGGCAGCCAGGTTAATAACTGGGGCAGCATACAGGGAGCATACAACTCCCATGTTACGTCAGCTCCACTGGCTGCCACTTTGCTACCGGGCACAATTCAAAGTGCTGGCTTTGGCCTATAAAGCCCTAAACAGCCCCGGCCCAAATTACCGGTCCGAACGCATCTTCCCCTATGAACCATCGCGGAGATTAAGATCCTCCAGGGAGGCCCTGCTTTCCATCCCACCATTGTCACAGGCACGATTAGTGGGGATGAGAGACAGGGCCTTCTCAGTGATTGCTCCCCGGCTATGGAACTCCCTGGTGAGATGAGGTCGGCCCCCTCCCTCCTGTCCTTTAGAAGGATGGTAAAAACTTGGCTGTGGGACCAAGCTTTCAGGACAGGGCAATAAGGTGGCAATAAGAAAGATGACTAGGCGAATTGATTTGACACAGATGACTAGGACGGTTTTAAATGGTGTATTTTAATATTTTGCTAAATGTATTTAATGTTTATGTATTGTATGTGAATTTGTGTCCCGGCATTGAATGTTTGCCATGTATATGCTGTGCTCCACCCTGAGTCCTCTTCGGGGTGAGAAGGGCAGAATATATATTTTTAAATAAATAAATAATAAATAATAGTCATATATGGGTTTTGGCCCAAAGTATTCAGGTATGCATGATTGCTAAGAATAAATAACTTTTCTGAAAAAGTATGAATTTTTAGGTAAAATTGATCTCACACCTACCTACTTCGCTCTCTGTGCATGCATGATGCATGCCTGAGTAGGTTATTGAAATAAACATATCCTGGTATTTGTTGTTTGCTTTCAAGCCAGTTCTGACACTTTTTTTTTAGCAAGCTTTGTTTAGATTTCTTAGCATGCTTTGTTCATCTGAGGCAAGGCATCATATTGTTATCTTTAAAGTGGATTTAAATATAGAAATGGCAGGGATAGCTTTAAATCTTATTTTTAGTCCCAAGTAAAGTATCTCTATGGAGCAATGTTTCCTGCCCCTCCCTAAGAACCAATAGAGCCAACATCTCCTGGCACTAAAATTCTGCAGTTGAAGTGAAGGACAAATATTTTCAGATTGAAGACAATCACCTTTTCTGCTGAAAACAACACATCTGAGTGCACTTCTTGTTTAAACAGGACAATCAGATTCAAAGCACCCCCAACAGATGGTCATCCATTCTCTGTTTAAAAGTCTTCTAAGAAGGAACCTCCACCACACTTCAGGGCAGAGAGTTCCACTGCTGAACATAGAATCATAGAGTTGAATAGGTTGGGTGAGAATATACAACCCTGCTGTACGCCGTTCCCAATCTTGAACCAGTCTGTTGTTCCATGGTCAGTTCTGACTGTTGCTACTTGGTCCTTATACAGATTCAATCAATACCTACAACCTGTCTATTTTTGGCCCACTCTTGCACTAGAACGTACTCTGAGAGGCAGTTTTAATTTTTAGCTTGAATACATCAGATTCCTTGCATGCAAAGAAACTTACCTGAATTCATACATCCAGCTTACCAATCAAAGATGTCAGTTGAACTCAAGACCATAGAAACAGTTTCTAGTTTACAAGAGTTAAATGTAAGGAGAGCCTTAACTGGCCACATAGTTATTTTGTTCCACTGTCGCTTTTTAAAGTTTTAGACTCTATTAAACCTGTGAAAAGAGATCATACTAAAGACTCCAGTAGCTTTAAACTACTGCATCCAGCTGTCTGAACTATTGCTTCTTTCAGCCCAATTAGTTTAATGGGGATTTCAGAATAAAAACATCCATATTTTCAGCCTGAAAGAAACAAATGACAATGAACAGCTTCACCTTAAAAATATGTGTTCCAAAATATTGGATGCAGACTAGCTCCTCAATAAATACTTTGATACCAAAAGTTAGTACCAAAGAGAGAGAGAGAGAGAGAGATTGCTTTTACTGCTAAATATTTCATACTTCGAGACTCCAGAAAGGTTTTGCACCAACTTTAGCAGAACTGGAAAATAGGTCAGTGATTAGAGGAGAAACGGCTTAGAAGAGAAACTTGACAACCGACACTTCTACTGAGCTGAAACCTTTAATTACAAACATGCTTATAAGGCTGTGAAATACATTGCCAAAGGTCCTGTAGGGGTGTGATTGGACTTTGTTTACCAATGAAAGGAAGCAAATCATATTGATCTCTTGCCTTTGCTTTGCAAATCTGACTGGCTATATTTAGCTCTTCAAAGTAATTTAGCTCATCAGCAATCATGTAATGGCTGCTATAAAATATTAAGAAGGCATTCAGAATTGTTTTGGTTTAAGCAACTGCTCCTTTAATAATTTATTGTAAGTAAATAATAAGTGATTGCATAACTCAGAAAAAGTGATGCTAAGTAATTGAGGTCGGTAAGCCTCAAGGCACGCATATCCTTGGCCGTTGAGAAAGATCTAAAAATGATAGTAAATCTGTACATGCAATTTTCCTTTGACATAGAGCTGGAAGAGACTCCAAGGGCCATCCAGTCCAAACCATTGCCATGTAGGAACACCTAGTCAAAGCCATGCAGCCTCTATTTCAGTGGTTCTCAACCTCTCTAATGCTGTGACCCCTTAATACAGTCCCTCATGTTGTGGTGACCCCCAACCATAACATTGTTTTCGTTGCTACTTCATAACTGTCATTTTACTACTGTTATAAATCATAATGTAAATATTAGATCTGCAAGATGTATTTTCATTCACTGGACCAAACTGGGCACAAATACCCAATGCACCCACATGTAAATGTTAGTGGGGTTGGGGGAGGATTTATTTTGTAATTTGGGAGTTGTAGTTGCTGGGATTTATAGTTCACCTATAATCAAAGAGCATTCTGAACTCCACCAGAGTTCAGAGCATTCTGAACTCCTTACACGGTGTGTATGTGTGCACATTCAGAAGAAGACCTACAAGCCACTCTAAACACCTTCGCAGAAGCATATGAGAAGCCTGAACATCGAGAAAACCAAAGTGCTCTATCAGCAGTCTCCAACCAATCCCTCTCCAAAGCTGGAAATACAGCTTAATGGTGTAACATTAGAAAATGTTAATCATTTCCGCTACCTTGGCAGCCATCTCTCCACAAAAGTCAACATTGACACTGAAATACAACACTGCCTGAGTTCTGCAAGTGCAGCCTTTTTCTGAATGAAGCAGAGTGTGTTTGAGGACCGGGACATCTGTAGGGATACCAAGTTGCTTGTTTATAAAGCTATTGTTCTCCCAACTCTGCTTTATGCCTGCAAGACAGACGTCACATGCAACTCCTGGAATGATTCCATCAGTACTGCCTCTGGAAAATTCTGCAAATCTCTTGAGAAGACAAGTACACAAATGTCACTGAGACACTGAGAACTGGGAAGCCCTGGTCATTGAGCGTTCCAGCTGGAGGTCAGCTGTGACCAGCAGTGCTGTAGAATTTGAAGAGGCACAAATGGAGAGTGAAAGAGAGAAACATGCCAAGAGGAAGGCCCATCAATCCAACCCTGACCGAGACTGCCTTCCACCTGGAAAACAATGCCCTCATTGCGGGAGAAGATGCAGATCAAGAATAGGGCTCCGCAGTCACCTACGGACCCACCAGTACACTGATCTTGGAAGAGTATCCTACTCGGAAAACAAGGGATTGCCTAAGTAAGTGTACACAAATGGGTATACAGGGGTATACAGGTAAAGTATTTCTGATCTAGAATTCCAAAATGTAAAACACTCCAAAATCCTAAATTGGCCAAATTTTTGGCTGAAAGAGTGATACCTTTGTTTTCAGATGGTTCAATATATTTATTTATTTATTTATTTCAAAGTTTTCTATACCGAGCTTCTCACCTCTTAGAGGGACTCAGCCCGGTTTACAACCATAAAAACATACAATCAGTAAAATATCATAGTTCATAATTACAATAACACATTTAAAATAACAACTATATTTAAAACTACGGTGGTCAGTCGTCATATTAAAAACAAGTATACCTCGTCTTCCATCCACAATCCTAGGGTGCTGTCTCATTCATCGAAAGCCTATCTCCACAACAACGTCTTCACCCGTTTCCTGAATGTCAGGATAGACGGGGCGGTTCTGACCTCCAGTGGGTGAGAGTTCCAGAGTCGCGGGGCCACCACCGAGAAGGCCCTGTCCCTCGTCCCCACCAGGCGCGCTTGTGAGGCCGGTGGGACCGAGAGCAGGGCCTCTCCAGACGACCTTAGTAATCTTGATGGTACGTAGGGGAGAATACGTTTGGAGAGGTAAACAGGGCCGGAGTTGTTTAGGGCAAAATATACTCATATTTTGTTTCATTCACAAAATTATGATAAATATTGTGTATAAAGCCACCCCCAGGATATGTGCCTAAAGTGTTCATGAAATATAAATGCATTTCAAGTTTAGACTTAGGTCCCATCTCCAGTATTTCAAAATCTGAAAGAAAATATGAAATATGGAAAACCAGAAGTTTGGATAAGTGATACTCAACCTTTATAATACAGTAAACTTGCCTGCAGATTATTATAAAAATCACTACTGGATAAAGGATTGAGATATATCTACTAGAGTACATCATTAAAGGATTAAGCACAATTGATATTTCTAATGAGATGTTTTTTCAGTCCTCAAAGACGTCCTTAGAATATGCATCAGGGTTAAGTACCCTGGACTTTTTATGAACAAACCCTGGGAACAGCTTTGAGTATCATAAGCTGTCTTTTGACATCAGATGCTTTTCTCTTCTTTCCACTACCCTTCAGCAACATGAAATGAAAATACCTTTAATGCAAGTAGACATCATATCTTTCTCAAGTGATGCATTTTGAACAGTTGGTTATTCAACTACTACATTAACTTACTTTCTTTGATTGGGTAATCCATGTAGAAAACATCAAAATTAGTAAATTTCTCAAGTTTTGCTATTTCTTTCAGAACATTGGAAAGCTGCGAGGCTCTCTAGAAAAAAAAAGAAAAGAAATCCATAATAAATATACTTTATTGCTAAGAGAACGCTTAACCTTCAGTTGTGACCAGTATTCAAATCAGGTAACCATAATATAAACAGTAAAACAACAGCTGAGCACTTCAGCTTCTGTGCAGGGAAAAATAATGATGATCAAATGGTGATGTACAAGATGGCTTAAAAATGACTTGCAAAAATCAGCTATCTACCAATCAATTGATCGTATTTATAAATATGCTATTAAAAACAGTGGTGTGACGTATCAGAACTTGGAAAACTTACTAGAAGCTGCATTTCCAAAAGTAATTTTTCAAAACTCTAGGGGTGCTTCCAGATAGCACCAAATTATGGCTTTAATAGGTAGGACAAAAAAAATAAATAAATCCTGGGACCTGAGAGCAGATCCGCACACAGACTTGTTGGTCCCGGGATTTATGCCTGTCACATCCAGACTAGCTGCCTTGTTCCAGGATTTTGAAGCCCACAAGATGGCTGCCCACCAGAAATTTCAGGACACCCACCAGAAATTTCAGCATTTTTTCTTTAAAAAATCCTTAAATGCACAGATGCAAATATGAGTTCATATGAGTTTGTTCCTGGGTCATACATATCTGTTCTTCTTTTCTTTTATCCTGAAAAGATGGTGAAAGTTGACTAGAGGGTGAAAACTTAGTCCTGGCAAGAGAAACTTTGTCCTCCACGTGTTCAATGAAGTTTGTGGAGCAGGACCACTAATGTTAAAGTCAGGACTACACTATTAAATAGGAAGTGACACCTTCAAGCCAGGAACAGAACTTCATCATTATTATTCTCATTCAGAGGCTGCATGACCATCTGTCCAGGCAGGTTTGGTTGTGTACTTGTGCCTGGGATCAACCGGGGGGGGGGGGATGTTCCTGGGTTATACATGTCTGTCCATCATTGCTTTTATCATAAAAACGGGGGAAGTTGATTACATGGAAAAAGCTTTGTCTGTGTGTCACAAACTTCATTAAATGTGTGTAGGATGAAGTTTCTCTTGCCAGGATAAAGTTTTTACCCTCTAGTCAACTGCTGTCATGTTTTTAGGATACAACCAATCAAGAACTGACATTATAACCTGGGAACAAACCAACATAAAAACCCTGCATTTTCAAAGAGATTCAAAGATCCACATTTTCTGGAGAACCAAGATGTTCCCACAACTGAAAATCTCGTGTTTTTAGAGCTTTATAGCAATTCCTCCGATGTTTCCAGGGAATGTCGTTTGGCCATACACCATTTTGTACTGGGAGCTCCTGGGATACAGGTACTATGTGGATGGGCTCTGGGAAAAACCAATACTGGATATTCTATAATGTAAACATGGACCTTTAGGAACCAGATCTACAATAGCTTATGCTGGGAAACTATTTTTTTTTTTCATAATTGATCTCAAAGTTGCTACAAGACTCCTTCATAGCTATGTTTTGCTGAAACAGAGTAAAACAGTTATGGGGTAAACAAAACAGACATTATTGTGTGTTTGGCTGCTCTATTTGTCACTCTCCGTTTTTAAAAGCAAATAAACAAACAATGTTTTTGTTACCACAGAGGATTGCAACAACAATTCCCAAAATCAGCATGAACATTAGATTCTTAGCCTGGTGTGTGTGTTACATTTTTCCCCCAGAGTATACTGCCACTCCACCCCCACTGCCACCAAAGAAAACCTCAAGGGAACTATACGGTTCTATATTTGCTGTTTGTACTATATTCCCTGGGCCATTCCTCCTTCTCACTGCCTGGAGGAGAAAGGGAGAACAGAATTATTCATGCTCTTTTTAAGATTTTCAGAACATTGCTCCTTTAAAAATGAAACCTGCAGCTCAGAGAAAATGCACTAAAGAGATCTGCATGCTGATTGCCAAGTTACCTATTTTTGTAAGAGCTGAATGAGGTACTTTAGCTTATTACAAGAAGTAGCATAAGTTTGGATCTAGGATTGACGTGAAAAACCACCAACAGCAAATAAGTGCAGCTCTCTGTAGTGGGAGCTGTCATTTCTTTGCAGTTCAGGCAGCCCCCGAGTTACAAATGTCTGACTTACTTATGACTCCTAGTTACGAACAGGCCTCTCCCTCTTGCCCTGCCACAAAATCTTAGTGCTGAGCCAAAGCATGTCTATGACCCCATCTATGCTGCCATGTAATGCAGTTTCAGAATCCAGATTAACTGCATTGACTTGGATTATATCGCAGTGTAGATCCGCCCAGTATCTCTTCCTACCCCTTTGCTTTTGTCCATCCCTGACACCCACTGTAGTTGCCACGGCTCAATGCTACGCAATCCAGGGATTTGTGTTGGATATAGCAACCTTCTTCAAGTCTCTACGAGTAATTTATTTGTATATGATTCTGTTTTCTTACTGTATTGTATATGTATGCTTTGGTATGCAGCTTTTCCTTTATGTTTCTTGAGGTTGTGAGAGGGGCTGCAGACCACATGATCAGATCTGAGACTGCTCAGACTTCAGATACCATTAGACTTTGGATGGTTAAGAGCAAACGCATGTTGCTGTTGATTGCAAGAATGATGCTCTGTGTAATTTATTTATTTATTTATTTAGAACTTTTATATCCCGTTCTTCTCTACCTCTGTGGAGGGACTCAGAATGGCTGACAGCAAGAATTCAATGCTAAACAATAAAGAACATTTTGAAACAACATACATAAAACAATAGGTTAAAATACATATAAGATTAAAATACATATAAAATCATTCACCAAGTTAAAAACATCATCCAATTCAGTCCACACATTGTGGTCAAATAACTTTAGTATTTACCGGTCTCCGTCATCACTCTGCAAATGCCTGATTCCAAAGCTAGGATTTCAATTGCTTCCTGAAGATCAGGAGGGAGGGGGAAGACCTAACTTCATTCGGGAGAGAGTTCCATAGCTGGAGGGCCACCACAGAGGAGACCCTGTCTCTCGTTCCCACCAGACGCAACTGCCAAAGTGGAGGGCCTGAGAGCAGGGCCTCTCTGGAAGATCTTAACACTCTGTTATCTGCTTAGAGTAACCACTTCAAATCAATCTGTAACTGGATTGACAAGTTATGTACCTTTATGCTGAATACATGAAGACTGCGAGTAAACCAAATATGTTACTTTTAATGAAGTCTACTTTATTTTTGTTTCTTTAGAGCATGATGTAGAAACAAGATATTTTATGGGAAAGTAGATGTTTTTGGGCACTGAAAAAAAACACTTCTGAATAACAGCTATATTTTGTGCATTGGCATAATCTCTGTTCCTAACAGGTTAGAGACAACTAGGTTTTAAGTCTAACAACTGAAAAACAAATTACTTTGCATAAATGCATGTGATTATATACCACTGAAGAGACTATTTTACTCAAATGAGTTTTTTGCCTCTTCTATGGAAGAATACACTTTTACAAAAAGTTAAGATTTTCAAATGGTTGTGAATGGCATTTTTCTCCACAAGGTTATGGAGATACTGGTTTTCCAAAAATTTGTCATTTGGTGAACCATTGGCGTTTTTCGGCAGAGAAGGCTGAAGACTTTTTAAAACTCCAGCCCACATGGGTCCATAGCATTGAACCAGGGCAGGTAAGGTGGTGTCAATCTGCATTCATTCTACAGCAGAGAGGCACCCTAAGGAAGCCGAGGTGGGATACACAGGAAAGGGTCTAGAGATGGGTTATCTATTTCTCTGGGTTTATTTTCCATTGCTGGAAGCTTTGATGTTCTAACACTTGTTTTCGAAGAAGGAATTCTAAGCTTACAGCAAGTATAATGGGCACCTTTTTGGCCAAATTACAAAGGGTGCACATTATGCCACTGCAGCAGCTCCTTACTTGCCAGCCAACAGTGTGCTCCTGGTCTCTTCTGACTTACATACAAATTCAACTTAAGAATGGACCTACATATCTTATTTTGTAATCTGGAAGAGCCCTGTATCTTTGTTTTCACCCACTTCACTTAGAATTGTTTCAAAAGTTCAAGGCAATACATGGAACACTCTTCATGACTGCCTTACTTCACAATGCATGCAGAAGTGGAGCATCTGTCTGCAAAAACCTCCATGTCAAGCTTTCTTGTAAGTGGGCAGCACAGTGAACAGTAAGGCATTCTTTGTGGTGTATAGGCAAGGCTTTCAAACATACAGAACATGTTATGCAGCAAGCAGATCCCATGTACAAAACTCACAGACACAAGTAGAAATGAACAGAAAAATCTTTACTCTTAATCGCAGAGATGAAATACAAACTTGAAATGCTGCATACAAAAAATAAACAGTGCCAGAAACTTACATAGTCTTTGTATGTAATACAAAATAAGGCATCTTCATCTTAAGTCCAATGAGAAAGCAAAAACATAAACCTTGAGCAGCTAGCTATTCCACTATAGCCTCTTTTAGAGCAGCATAACGGCTTCTCTCCAACCTGCTCCTCAGAGCAGAACCTTTGAGCATAGATCTCCTCAGAGAAAAAGCTCTCCAGAACTGTATTCTAAAAACTCATACAGTTATACCCCATCGGGTGTGGTCCAAGATTGTTGGTTGACCTACATTACCAGCTGCACATAGTAATTCCCATCATAAGGTTTTTCTTCAACACACACACATGGTCCTGCTACAATTTACAACTTATAAACTTGATAATTTGAGCTGCACCTTGCTCTTGAAAAAATAAGAAGCTACAGTCTATTCATAGACTACAGGCATTTGTGACAAATGGCATGCAACCTGTGCATCTTAAACTGAATCAAAACCATCTAGTCGAGTGGTTTACAGCCTTTCATCTGCAATATGTTTTTTACTAACTCCTAGAAGTGCTGATTGGAGCTAGAAGTTGAAGTATAAATTATATAGAGGACCAAAGACTAAAAACCAGTGCTTTAGACAATGAACCTTATTAGAAATCAGGAAACCTGTTTTCTTGAGTAGCAGTTGTATCAACCAACAGCAATACTCCTCTTTTCCTTACGAAAGGACCAAGGACTTTCTTTAAAAGTAGGGATAGCTACACAATAGTTTTTGTATTAAATTTACCTCTGCTGTCAAGTCCCTGAGCGTGCTGTTTGAAGACATCCAGCCATTGCATGGATTGATCTGTATAAATGTGGAGAAACATTGTTTTAACTATTGTTTATAGCTGTGCAAAAATGGGTGAGAAAGAGAACAATATCAGGTGAATAGTTGAACAAGATATCAAAAACATCACAATGATCCGCCATTTGGACAAATGGAAGAGCTTTTCACATACCATTACATTTATGTGACCTCTATACCAGAGACATAAAAAGAATGAAGTCAATGCAGACAGGTAACAGGTAGTCAGGAAACAGTTGCTCTGATAACATATTTATGTAACAATAGTCTATTATTCTTTTATAATTAATATGTGCCATGTTTTATTACTCCCCAAAATGAAGCAACCTGCACAAATGTTTGTGTCCAAAACTAAATGGTGCCCTCTCCCTCCTAATGCCCTTGGGATGCTATCAATCCAGGTCATCAGCTACCCCACCAGGCCTTGGAGCTATTGAGTCCAACAGATTTGATGACGGTACTACAGAAAAGAAGAGAAAGAAACATTCCATCCATCCATTCATCATCTGCATATCAATCTGGCTAGCTATATTGCTATCTATCTATTGTCTGCATAGCTATCTGCCTCTCTGTCTATCTACCTGCTATCTATCTGCTTATCTGCTTATCTATCTATCTATCTATCTATCTATCTATCTATCTATCTATCTATCATCTATCTATCTATCTATCTATGAGCATATAATCTGCACATTGATCTTACTTACTTACTTACTTACTTACTTACTTACGCAATCCCTCATTGTCCGAGTAGGATTGTCTTCCAAGATTGGTGTACTGGTGCTGGGTCCGTAAGTGAGTGTGGAGCCCTATTCTTGATCTGCATGTTCTCCCACAGTGAGGGCATTGGTTTCCAGGTGGAAGGTGGTCCCGGTTGGGGTTGGCTTGACATGCCTTCCTCTTGGCACGTTTCTCTCTTTCGCCCTCCATTCGTGCCTCTTCAAATTCTACAGCACTGCTGGTCACAGCTGACCTCCAGCTGGAGTGCTCAAGGGCCAGGGCTTCCCAGTTCTCAGTGTCTATGCCAGAGTTTTAAAGGTTGGCTTTGAGCCCATCTTTAAATCTCTTTTCCTGTCCACCAACATTCCATTTTCCGTTCTTGAGTTCGGAGTAGAGCAACTGCTTTGGGAGACGGTGGTCGGGCATCGGACAATGTGGCCGGTCCAGCTGAGTTGATGGTGGAGGACCATGGCTTCAATGCTGGTGGTCTTTGCTTCTTCCAGCACGATGACGTTTGTCTGCTTGTCTTCCCAGGAGATTTGCAGGATTTTTCGGAGGCAATGCAGATGGAATTGTTCTTGGAGTTGCATGTGATGTCTGTAGATAGTCCACGTCTCACATCTATCTATCTATCTATCTATCTATCTATCTATCTATCTATCTATCTATCATCTATCTATCTATCATCTATCTATCTCTATCTATCTATCTATCTATCTATCTATCTATCTATCTATCTATCTATCTATCTATCTATCTATCTATCTATCTATCTATCTATCTATCTATCTATCTATCTATCTATCTATCTATCTATCTATCTATCTATCTATCTATCTATCTTAAACAATGTATTCAATTGCAGAGGCGCATGTTGTGAATGGCAACCAGATCACAGGCAGTGAAGTCTTAGTGAATTTCATTCCAATCGAGGCGAGGCATTAATCGAACTGTCATCCTGTCCCTGAGTCTGAGAGACCATCATAACCAAGAAGTAAAAAACTTTTCCTGAATCTCAGATGTGAGACATGGGTTTAAAGAAAGTATTTTTTTTCTAATGGTGTTCAATGAGACTTTACTGCCTGCACTTGGACTGCAGCTCACATTCACCTCTGCAACTGAACAGTCTTTCCAAGTAGTTGAGAACTCTCTTAGCTGAGAACTTCTCCATTGCCATCTGAACTGCATTGTTTTTCCTTTTCCTTTAAGAGCACCCCTATCAATTCCATGTTATAGTGTGTGTGAGAGAGTGTATGTCAACTAACCGGCAAGGCAGAAGAAGAAAAACTGAAGAGAAGAGGAAACAGACAAAAGTTAAAACAGTTTTGTAATTTGACTTCCTGCCATGATCAGGTGGTGCGAGGGAATATCCCAGTGCTAATAGACTGCGCTTTCACCTTCTTGAGAATGCTTACTTACCTATACATTTAAAGAAGCTTTGTTTAGTTCCATGCTGAACATTCACATCAAAAATGCAACAGAAAGTGTCATGTTTGACTATTTTTTCATCTTCCCCCCAAAATCTAATAGAGTGGAATATCTAGACAACTTACCCGAAGGCAACTGAGAAATGAATAAAATTGTTCGTATGTGACGTCTTTGTTCAGCTGGCCTGGAAAAGAGAAATCTGACAATCACAGAACCTATCATGATCCTTACAAGATGTGATATCTTATAAGGAGGCTACTTGACACATTATCTACACTGTACAGTTATAGCAGTTTCATAACGTTTTTACTGCCACCCCTCATCCTATGAGATTTGCAGTGTGGTAAAGTACACTTTGCCAAAAAGCTCTTGCCCACTTTCCTGAACACTCTTACAGAAAATTCTAAGTATTTCACCAAATTACAAACCCTTGGATTTCAGAAGATGGTGTCATGACAGCTAAAGAGGTTCAGACCTCATATTGTGTCCAATCAGGTGTCAGCCAATCTTGCCATCACGGGTAGCAGTGGCCATCTTTATGGTTATCATATACACAGTATAGTCCACATGCAGCTTCTGCTTCTTTGGGCAGATTTCATTACAAATATGTACAAGCCCAGCTTTTCAACACTGTAACTAACATTGTACATACAACCTAGTATTTATTTCAGGATAACTATAGTGGTGCGGAATAAGTAACATTATCCATAATAGCCATGGAGGATGGCTTAATAAACATTTAAGCTTTTCTTTGGTCTCATTCCTATGTTATCTATGTAAAGTAAAGATAAAGATTTCCCCTTGACATTTCGTCCAGTCGTGTCCGACTCTGAGGGTTGGTGCTCATCTCCATTTCTAAGCGGAAGAGCCGGCGTTGTCCATAGACACCTCCAAGCTCATGTGGCTAGCATGACTGCATGGAATGCCACTATCTTCCCACCTATTGATCTACTAACATTTGCATGTTTTCAAACTGCTAGGTTGGCAGAAGCTGGGACTAACAGCAGGAGCTCACTCCGCTCCCTGAATTCAAACTTGTGACCTTTGGGTCAGCAAGTTCATCAGCTAAGTGCTTTAACCCACTGCGCCACCAAGGGCTCCATCTATTTTTATTTTACTTGATTAGTTTATTTATTTTATTGTGATGTTATTGTGATGTTATTTTGATGTTATATTTTATGTTGCTGTAATGTATCGCTGGGCTTGACCTCATGTAAGCTGCTCCAAGTCCCCTTTGGGGAGATGATGGCGGGATATAAATAAAGATTATTATTATTATTTGAAACACAACAAGATGAGTCCACAGCAGACACTCTGCTGGCTGTTGTATTGGATCACACATCGGACACTTCCCAAGTGTCTAGGATTGTGTGATGTATCGGCGAATAATGTGTGCAGATCCCAGTAAGGTGGCCTTCTGCAGCTGGCAGATGGTAATTTTGTCAGCGCCTATTGTGTTTAAGTGCAGGCCAAGGTCTTTAGGCACTACACCCAGTGTGTCAATCACCACTGGGACCACCTTTACTGGTTTGTGCCAGAGTCTTTGCAGTTCAATTTTTAAATCCTCATATTGTGTCAGCTTTTCCAGTTGTTTCTTTCAATTCTGCTGTCATCTGGAATTGCAACATCAACAATCCATACTTTGTTTTTTAACATGATTTGAGGTCAGGATTATTATGCTCCAAACTCTGTCTGTCTGAATCCGGAAGTCCCAGAGGAGTTTGGCGTGTTCATTCTCTGTAACCTTTTCTGGCTTGTGGTCTCACCAGTTCTTTGTCGCAGGCGGTGGTATTTGTGGCACAAGTTCCAATGAATCATCTGAGCAATGGTTATTATTATTATTATTATTATTATTATTATTATTATTATTATTATGTAACTGAATTCAAAAAGAAAGTACTATAAATTGTCTCACATAGCACATCTGCATTACATGGATGTTGTGCCCAATCAGCTGTGTAACCAGCCATCATGAGTTCCAACAGCAGCCTTACTTGTGTCCTATTGCATGTAATCCAAGTAACACAATAGTTTTCAAGGGCCATATGATTTTGAAAAAGAAAAGAAACCAACACAATTATGCAACAATTTCAACAACTACATAACTCTTTTAATAGGCTCTGATTTTCATGTTATTGCCATGTGTCATTCCTTCAAATCACTCAAAAGATTTTAGCCAGGAGATTGTGAAAATAAATATGGCAATTAAGTCAGATTTCAAAAATAGCATTTATCTCAGACCAAAAGTATAGATTGTTTTTCTGTTACTCTGCATGTGTACACCTCTCTTCCTTTACCTTCAGCCAACTGCGTTAGCAAGAGGCCTGAATTACATAATAGTCAGTTCAAATCTCAAGGGTGACTGGCTGATGTTTTACCCATTAACAAGCCTTTCACTCTCCAAAACAAATGTAGCCATTTCACATCAAGGAGGAAGATTGAAGGTGACTGTGTAGATTCACGGTTTTTGGTTTTTGTACCTCAGATAGGCTGGTTGTAAAGTGGAAATAATATCTTCTGTCAAACAGCAAATCCTTACCCTCCCTTTGTGGAAGAAGTTAATTTAAGTATTGTTAAATACACAACTTTCCCATAACTAGTTTCATATAGGTCAAGGTCGTAAAGGTGGATTGCTATTGTTCATTCTCATAAAGACAAATGGATATCTAGGTCACTGCTGCTTAAACTGTGGGTCCCTATCCCAAATGGGGTCTGCTTAACTCAATGTTGGAATCCTGAAAAAATTGGCAATGGTAAAAGATTTCTGAATGCCACCTAGTGACTGTTTTAGGCATTACATGACTCTGTTGTGCAGTGTTTTCAGTAGACTCTGCAAATGATGCTTCAGCTGTACTTCATAAAAAAATAAACAACAGCAACAAGAACAACAAAAATGCAGGGGGAGGGGGAGAGAATGAAAAGAAGAAGGTATATTTACCAAGAGGATGGTATCTCTTATGCAAGTTATCCCACAAGAAGCGGCCATCCACCAAGCCAATTAAAATTACATGGCTCCCTTTTGGAAGACGGTTGTCTAGATGACGCAGAGTCTGCAAAACACTGCTGCGCATTTTCTCCGGTTGTGTCATGTGTTTCACTGTGTCAGGATGCCTATGAAGGAAAAAGTACATACTTGACTCCTGCTTGGGTATGCTTTCACAACCTTTATAAGCTTGCTACTTGGGATACAAGACTGAGACTATATATCAGGCATGCTTGATTTTTCCTGTACTAGCCATTTAGCAAAACTGGAAAAACTGGACTCGATTTGGCTGCCACATAAGAATGGAGAGCTATTTTCAAAGCAGTTCACCAGGTTATGTAGGCCTGGATTATGTTCATTCTGCCCGTGCAGGTCCACGTAACATTTTATAATCACTAATTTATTTATTAATTTATTTACGACATTTATATGCCGCCCTTCTCACCCCGAAGGGGACTCAGAGTGGTTCACAAGGTACATATATACACAATATATTAAATTAAGCATAGTAAAATATCAGTATTATATATTACTACTAGCCGTCCCCTGCCACTCGTTGCTGTGGCCCAGTCTGATGATCTGGAAAATAAAGTAATGAGAAAGTGTTGATTTCTAATATATGGAATTCCTTTATGCTTGTGGGTAAACAGTATTTCTTGTTGTTTCTTTGTTAGTGTTGATGAGATTGTCTGGTTTGCCTACTCTGGAACATATACTTGTCCTTCTTTGCAACATATACTTGTCCTTCTTTAGGGGTCCCTTTCAAATCTATGATACTATATCTGTGTGTGTATGAATCATATATATCTATCTATATCTATGACTGGATGGCTCTTTGTCAGGAGGGCCTTGATTACATTTTCTTGCCGTCGTGAAGGGAGTTGGATAGCCTTAAGTATTTTCTGTTGGTCATGTGGGTTCTATGTGGAAAGTTTGGCCCAATTCTATCGTTTGTGGGGTCCAGCACGCTCTTTGATTGTAGGTGAACTATAAATCTCAGTAACTACATCTCCCAAATGTCAAGGTCTATTTCCCCCAAACTCCATCTGTGTTCATATTTGGGCACATGGAATATTCGTGCCAAGTTTGGTCCAGATCCATCATTGTTTGAGTCCACAGTGCTCTCTGGATGTAGGTGAACTACAACTCCAAAACTCAAGGTCAATGCCCACCAAACCCTTCCAGTATTTTCTGTTGGTCATGGGAGTTCTGTGTGCCAAGTTTGGTTCAATTCCATCATTGGTGGAGTTCGGAATGCTCTTTGATTGTAGGTGAACTATAAATCCCAGCAACTACAACTCCCAAATGTCAAGGTCTATCTCCCTTAAACTCCATCTGTGTTCATATTTGGGCATATGGAATATTCGTGCCAAGTTTGGTCCAGATCCATCATTGTTTGAGTCCACAGTGCTCTCTGGATGTAGGTGAACTACAACTCCCAAACTCAAGGTCAATGCCCACCAAACCCTTCTAGTGTTTTCTGTTGGTCATGGGAGTCCTGTGTCCCAAGATTGCTTCAATTCCATCATTGGTGGAGTTCAAAATGCTCTTTGATTATAGGTGAACTATAAATCCCAGCAACTATAACTCCCAAATGACTCAATTTTTTTTTAGTGAAGGACGTACATTGGGTTGTTAGGTGCATGCAGTCTAAATTTGGTGTCCACTCCCCCCAGTGGTTTTTGAGTTTTGTTAATTTCACAAACGAACATTTCATTTTTATTTATATAGATATTGTACTACACCATTCTATTATAATAATATTAATAATATTACATGTAATATTACACTAATGATCTGTGTGCTTGATGTTCTCCAATAAAGCTGGAATATTATTTTCTTAAGATTTTTTTTTTTTGGGGGGGGAATAACAGTAAAACATTGTCAAGTTACTCTGCTTGCATGCACATGTGCGCGCGCGCACACACACACACACACACTATAGAAAACAGAATTGCCTGCGAGATAAAATGATGTCCAAACTGGGGGCATTTTGGCAACGAAGCCTCAGTAATGGCTGATTTACCATTACAGCAGTGTAATCTCTTTCTATCATTTCTTTCTGTTGTCCCTCATTTCAAAGCACAGATTGCCTCTGGCCCCAATCAGTCAGCTCTTGTTTCCTCTTGTTATCATGGCTTTATGTCACTGATAAAATGCCGCAGTGTGGAGAGAATACCATAGGAACAATCAGCTATAGAAAACACAGAAAATCTAATAATTTTGGTTCTTTATCCTTTGAAAAACACATGTGATTCCTCCGTAATTCCTTTGTGATTTAATTTTCCATGTTCCCTTAAAACCTATTATTATTATTATTATTATTATTATTATTATTATTATTATTATTAATAATAATATTTATTCTGTCCTACATTTGCGGCTTGGGATGCCGTGAGATATGTGCCATCTGTCTATATTTTTGAACATCCTTCTCATTTGGCTGTTGCAATTTGGGGAAGGCTGCCAATTTCATTATCTCTGTCACTTACAAATGTCTGCCTTTTCCAACCTTTCGCTTGCCACACTTGTGTTGAAATCCTAGCATTTTAAACTGTATTTTGGTTAAGGCATGATTCTGCAGTATGCAGCCTTTATCTTTTTTCAAGACACAGCCCTGAATTAATGGCTACAGATCTCAGATTCGTGGGTTTATACAGAATGGTAAAATCTTAAATGCCATTAGCCTTTAAAAATACAACTCTTGTGAAAAAACTGCATTTAGTTCGCTAGTGTTCTGGTACGGCTGTACCAGGAGCTCCAACTTTATTTGCTTTGTATTAAATGTTTGTTTGCAGTCCTAGGTTTCAGGGACTCTGCAGATAGGTGGCTTCCTTTGGTTGCAGTCATAGGGCAATCATCTGTCCATCAGCTCTCTCTCTCCTTCCTTCACAAGTGCGTGTGTGCACGCACGTTGTCTTCCTCTCCTCTTCTCCTCGCAGGCCAAGGGAGACAATGCTGGCATGCGTCCTTCTCCCGGTGTTAGGAAGTGCGTGGGGAAGGAGGAGCGATGCAGGGTGCACACTTCCTAATGCCGGGAGAGGGACGTGCACTGGCATTGCCGGGTGCTTGGGAAAAGAGGCCTCATGCAGGGAGCATGCCTTCCTCGCCAGGCTGGACTCCCAAGCCTGGCACCCAGCCTGGCAAGGAAGGAGCGCAGAGCAGCCGAGGGGTGAGGGGGAAGCTGTTGAGGCCCTCCTCCTTGCCCCTCCGTTGCTCCATGCCTTCCTTGCCAGACTGGGCTCCCAAGCATGGCGCCCAACCTGACGAGGAAGGAGTGTGGAGCAGCAGAGGGGGAAGCTGCCACCGCCGATGTCCTCTTCGGGCCTCAAAGGAGTGTGTGTGTGTGTGTATGTGTGTGTGTGTGTGTGTGTAAATTTTCAATGATTGGTTGGGGGGCGGGCGCCAAAATTCTGTTTGTTTACCCCTGAAAATTACCGTTGCTGCCTGGCATGAGGAATGACAGTAAAGCCAGGTTTCATCTCAGTTGAAAACATATATTCTATGTTTCTTGAAATCTTACCCATTGCAGACATCATTCCCAACCATTGCAAAGAAAACTATTGCAGGCTTGTCAAGCTGTTGATTCCTTGCCAAGCTGAAAATGGGAAAAAATAAATGAGAAATCTTAGCGTTACACAAACCTTGAAAAACAATTCTCCCTATATAGTAATGTACAGCATGTTCCTGCTAAGCTGAACTTACTGATGGAAAAGAACAGTCCTAGCCATTTACAAAAAATATATCTGTAATTGTAACATCAGGGTGTTAAGTACTATCTTACAGACACATGGATTAATAATGGCAACTGTTTCGGGCTTAATATAGCAGTTTGTCCACCAACCCCCGAAGAACGACACGATAAATAACGACACAACAACCATTTTTTGGATTTAAATTGGGCAACATTTATTTTTAACGTTACCTATTTAACTCTTAACTACCTCAAGGGTGTCAGGAACTGGCAAACCTAACCCAGGTAGTGGCACTACCCGATAACAACAATTTCCGGGCGAAACACCTGGGTACCGGTAATAAAACCAGATACCGTGAAGGGAAACGAATGAGGAGTCTGTCCCAAAGCTCTTGTATCCAGACTCCTTCCATTCGAGGCCATTCGACTGCACTTCACCCTTGAACTGGTGAATGCTCAACTTAATGGCCTGTCACCCCTTAAAGGGGTGCCCTAGGTGCACACCGACTAGAAGGAATTCCCTAACTATTTACGCTCGTCCTATTTAACCTACGGCTCGCCCCTCCATCTAGCCCCTAAACAGTATAGGGTAGGCAAAAAACCCCCCCACTAAAATCAGCGAGGGGGAAAAAATTCCTACCCGGCTCCACAGGCAACCGTGAATTATACTGTTAATGGGCGGGAGT